TTTTTCGTCTCTTTTATTTTCTCTCTCTCTCTTTCTCTTTCTCTATTGATGGTCTTGTCTCTTGCTCAGATTTTTAGATAATAGCACCTTTTCTTTTTTTCATATTTTCCGTCCATAATCTTCTTCCTCTTCAACGACTCTCCCTCCGCCTTCTCCTTATTCTTCCTCTTCTTCTTCTTTACTTCAACATATCTTGCTCCTCTTTCTACTTCATTTTTATTTTCTTCTTCTTCTTCACCGTCTCTTCCTCCTCCCTTTCTTCTTCTTCTTCTTCTTCTTTAGCGTCTCTTCCTCCTCCTATTACTCCTCCTCGTTCTTCTTCTTCTTCTTCTTCAGCGTCTCTTCCTCCTCCTATTACTCCTCCTCGTTCTTCTTCTTCTTCTTCTTCTTCAGCGTCTCTATTCCTCCTCCTTATTTCTTCTTCTCAGCGTCTCTTCCTCCTCGTTCTTCTTCTTCTTCTTCTTCTTCAGCGTCTCTTCATCCTCCTATTACTCCTCCTCGTTCTTCTTCTTCTTCTTCTTCTTCTTCTTCTTCTTCTTCTTCTTCTTCTTCTTCTTCTTCAGCGTCTCTTCCTCCTCCTATTACTCCACCTCGTTCTTCTTCTTCTTCTTCTTCTTCAGCGTCTCTTCCTCCTCCTATTACTCCTCCTCGTTCTTCTTCTTCTTCAGCGTCTCTTCCTCCTCCTATTACTCCTCCTCATTCTTCTTCTTCTTCAGCGTCTCTTCCTCCTCCTATTACTCCCCCTCATTCTTCTTCTTCTTCTTCTTCTCTATTTTTATTTTTTAACGTCATCTTTTTTTCTAATTCAACATCCACATCATTTTCTTTAACGTTTTACCTTACCTCTTCTTTATCTTTTTCTTCAAAGTCCCCTTATTCTCCACCTACTTCAAATTCTTTTTCAACGTCACCTTGTTGTTGTTGTTGATGTTGCACTTCGCCTTCTACTTCTTCATCTTCCCCGTCTCCCCATTCTCTCCCTTGTTGTTGTTGCTGTCGTCTTGTTCTTCTTCTAATAGAGTTATATGAAGATGCATCTGACTATTGTTTCCGTGATTTCTCATTGAAGAACGTTTAGAATTTTTCCAAAAAGAACATAATAATAATAATAATAATAATAATAATAATAATAACCTTCATCACCATTTATTTCCCACAACATACGCTTCAGATTGTTTATTGCTTTTCTCTGATTTTCGTCTTTTACTTCACCCGTTAATTTGGTTTGGCAAGTGAATTAAAAATGAGGTGTTTTTTTTTTTTATCTCAAATCTTTCTTTTCCTATGCAACGGTTGCAACGTGTACAACTACCAACAGCTGAATTGTGTGTTTTACGTTTTAATTAGACATATTATATATATACATACATACATACATATCTATCTATCTATCTATCTATCTATCTATCTATCTATCTATATATATGCAGAAATTTTTCAAAATCGAATGACTAAACATAATAATTTGTGGGAATCACGTCATGTGCTTGCTGAGACTTTTCAACATTTTCTAATGTAATACACACACACACACATATATATATTTATATATAGGAAGTACAATTTCTTTCAACTTCTCTATCTTTTTTCTGTCACTCAACTTATATATATATATATATATATATATATATATATATATATATATAGATAGATAGATAGATAGAGAGAAAGAGAGAGAGAGAGAAAGAGAGAGGGAATTTCCTTCTAATCTGAGATGGATTATTCCTCATTTGGAAAAATCAATCACTAAAATTAATCGACACAAACTGCCTGTCGTCTTTATTACACACACACACACATACACACACACACATATATATATATATATATATATATGAATATAAATGCATACTGTACAGTCTTTCTCATATACTCTCTCTGTGTCTCTATATGTTAATCTTTATAAAGATAAAAATGCGTTATTTCAAATACGACTATCCACTTTTGAAATAACAAATACATGTAAATATAAAATATAATGTCTCTACTCCTCTCTCACTCTCTTCTTTGTCCACTCTTTATATATATATATATAAAAGACATTTTTATGTTTAACATTCTTTTTATAGATACAAGTATTTAAGTAAATGCTCTGTTTATAATAAACAGTATTAAATAACATTTACCGGCCTGAATGTCCGAGAAAATTTCATAGAAAATATCCGTCCTTTGACAGGATTCGAACCTGCATCCTATACGGAACCGTCATTTACGCTGACGTGCCTTAACCGACTCGGCCACATATATATATATATATTGACATGTGTTTGCATATGTGCATGTTAGACATTCGTAGACGTACTCAGTCTTTGCATCTATATAAATATAGGAAAAAACCCGAGTTATGCACAAAAACACGGAGAATCCTACATTTGAAAAACCCTCGCAACAAAATCTTGTTTCCTATTCTATTTCGTTATGTTTTGAATTTTTTCCTCTTTTTTAGACCAATGTTCAATCGACACAAGCCTTATGAGCTACTCACTGTAGAGGGTCGGTGTATAGTGTTGTATGTTCATGAGAAGGGACAAAGTAAAAATTAATATCATACATGTATAAACATATAAATATATGTATTGTCTCACTTCGACGTGGTGTCATGATTAACAAGCTTTTTCTCGTTCGTTCAATTATGACTGAGTAGTGAATTCGATTCTCAAGGTGTGCTCCAAACTTTCAGCCTTGTGCCACGTCAAATCTATGCTTAAAATCGCTATAAATATACCTATTTTATTTACGTAAGATTGTTTTTTTTTACCATAAATATATGGTGATTTTCCAAGCGTAGCTTAGACATGACACAAGGCCGTAAGTATGGGGCACACAGTGAGGAATGAAATCACTCCTCAGTCGTAATTGTTCTAACGAGACAAGCTTGTTAACCATTACACCGCCTCGTGGTACCTCTCTATCATAAATATATAGTTGATTGACTGATTCCTTTTTTACGACTTTGCAGGAAAAGCCAGAAAATATTTTTCGATTATAAGATTCTTTTTACGATAATAATGATTTAGTGATCATGTCTTACTAATTAGCCCACAGCGAGGGGGGGTTGGGAGAAGAGCTGAATATTGCTAGTTAGAATTTTTAGCGCCGTTGCGTTTGTTCCCCCCACCACAACCCCAAGAAGATATTTCGTGTGCTCACTTGCTTTTTGAATTATTATGCATAAAATAATTGTCAGTTTCTGTGACGTCATTGATAATTGGGTTTACCTAATGTGTATATTTGTACCGTTTCCAGGTTTTTCTTGTTTCTTACTTTCATTGCCTCTTGTCTGTTACACGAGGGCAGTCTCAGATTTCAACTTAATGACCTCACTGATCGACATTTTGCTCAGACTGCCGTAAATTCGCATACAGACAGAAAGATAAACAGTCGGGTAGACAAATATGAACAGACACACACACACACACACACACACACACACATATATATATATATATATATATATATATATATATATATAAGTGTGTGTGTGTGTGTGTTATATATATGTGTGTGGAAACAGAAACGTCTGCTTAGCAAAGTCCAAATTTCTAGAAAATTCAACCTGATAAATGTAATTAATACTGTTTAATTAAAGACAAAGCATTTATTTAAATAAATCGTATCTATGAAAAATAACGTATGAACACAAAACATATTAAACAATTGTCGGGCTTAATCCATTTCATTATACGTTGTCATTGTTTACGTTAAGATACGTTTCGTGAGCAGATATGATCGATTGAGAAAAATTGTCGAAGATTGTGTTTAGAAACAGTAATTCGGACTAACCAGGCTCTTTGTAGCTGAATGGTTACAGCACGTCAGACCAAATGGTGGTTTACATATAGGAATTCAGGTTCGATTCCTGTGGGAGAACGCATATTTTCTACGAACTTTCTAAAACATTCAGGCCGGTAAATGTAATTAATACCGATTAATTAAAGAACAGACCATTTACTTAAATAAAATATATCTATAAAAAAATATATATATATATATATATATATATATATATATGAAGAGTGAAAGAGAGATAGAGGCGTGGGTTAGGTATATATCTGTCTATATTACATTATTTATATTATTCGGGCTGTTGTCCCCAAGGACGCATGACATAGTGGATAAAAGCGTTGGTTAAAGTAATCGAAAATTGACTCGAAAAGACTTGGGAGTTCAATATCCTGACCAAAAAAGTGAACAAAAAAAAAACAAAAAAAAACTTGGATAGTTGAATTACTAAAGGGGGTTAACTGAAATATCCAGAAAAGGCATGGCACTTGGAACTAGAACAATTTAACTCCATGGATTTGGTTTGAGATTCCAATGTATATCACCTGAAGAAGCCCGGGGCGTACAACGGCCGAAACGTCATGAATATGACAACTGATCGAACAATGTAAATAATGTAGATAGATAGAGAGATAGGACATCGCTCAAAACGAGTGTTGGTTGTAACAAAACAGTCAGTTATGTGCCATGCGTGATACAGGCTTAGGCGATCATTTATCTTTCGATAAATGACGAACGAAGCAGATTTTTCCTGCAGTAGGTTGCCATTTCTTTCTGCAGTAGACCAGTTACCATCCAAGGCTATAGAACCCTGCTAAATAGTCCTGCTATTTACCCTTCTACCAAAGGTATTAGTACGTAAGTGAATGTAATGGATTCGACTGGAATTCGAACTCAGCTCTCCGATTCCTCAATCCGAGCTGCTATCTATTACTCCATCATGCCTCCTCAGTAAACAGTATAGAAACAGCATAAAACAGTACTCGATGTAAAATAAGAGAGCTAAAATGTATATTCAAATAATTTTGTAAAGTCTCCATAATTTATATAAATTTGAAAATTCATAAAATAAGGTAAATTTACAGTGTTTATTGTAAAACATAGGTACATCATTAAAGGTACATCAGAACAATTGTACATCTAGACGAGTCTTTATTTCTATATGTGATGGAGCATCCTCTCATCAATGTCGAATATGGCGTGTTGTTTTTTTGAGATTATTGAAGACATGAACCTTTCGTACAATTGTCCCTGTCTTTAACGTAGCCATTTTCAGTGCTTCCGTTTCATTGAGAAACTCCTGAAAAGTAAGCACCACAATGAATTGCTGCACTATCCTACTGGAAAATAACTATCGTTGTAATTAGTTTGGTTTAGTTTATTTTCTTTGACGGCATATCACTACCTCAATGGGTCAATTCATGCTTTGTACTGTCCTGTGGTCAAATACTTTCGACCACCTCAGTCGTTATTGAAGGCAATTTCAGATACAGTGTGGAAACTGTTTTGCATATAACGCCATTTTTTCAATACGTGTATATCTGACGGGGCACCTCGAGGTGGTGTAATGGTTAGCAAGCTTGTCTCGCTAGAACTATTACGACTGAATAGTGAGTTCGATCCTCACTGGGTGCACCATACTTTCGGCCTTGTGCCACATCTGAGCTACGCTTGGAAAATCACTACGTGTATATCTGATGTAATTAGAATTCTAGCCATCCCCAAAATGCAAGACCTTGTTAAAAAATCTTGTCTACCACACGAAAAAAAAATCTACTTCTTGATAATGTCTGAGACAGTCGAGTTAAGCAGCGTCGAGCCTGGTCAGTACCTAGATGGGTGACCGTTTGGGAATACAGGTGCTGTAAGCTTGGATGTTCGGATGGTGTAATGAATAACAGTTTGGAGTTCCAATTCCCGGCAAATTCATTTACGCGCAAAATACACTTGGGAATTGTATGAATGCATCTACAAAGCCAGCCAGCTACGAGTTAATTAGTATGATTTGTATCACTAAGCTATTATTATCTCTAAATAATATTCTTACAATCTAACGTTATTTTCTGGCCCTAAATAACCTAATGGCTTTTTTATGGCTTATCAACCTAAGAGTTGATAAGCCATAAAAAACGGATAAATTTTGATTCTGTTGTACGATACCTTACTCGAACATTGTAAAAATATCATAAAAAATAAGCAGACAATTTTTGTCTGACGAATTTACTATATCATGTTAGATGAACTTTTTATACCTAAATATATACAATGTGCGACAGAAATACCTCCCATACAATGGTAAGACATTAGCAGCAATGATGTCATCATCTAGCTAATGTCCAACCATTGTATGGGAGGTATTTCTGTAAAGTATATGTGGAAGGCTATTTCTGCCGCACGAATTATATATATGTCCCTCACCGCTCGAGTTACTTTAAGTTTCATGCACATAACAATCGTCAGGCACAAACTCCTGAATATTTACCTGATGATTTCTATGGAAAAGAAACACCAAGTAGCATCAAATGACGAGGAACAGAGAATGTCCATATCAGCTATCTTTAGCTTTTGTGATGTCCCGTCTCTTTGTTCGATACACGATATCTTTAACATAACCCCATAGAAAGAAGTCCAGGGGAGTGATATCTGGTGAGCGAGGTGGCCAGGCCATCCCT